AATTATATGTAGTATAAGTGACTCTCGAAAGTATTTATAGATTTTAGTGAGGTACCCACACATCCTTCGTATTGATATAATCAAAATCTAATATCATTATCAGAGTAAATGCCCCGAAAACAAAGATTAGGTAAGTATGACCTTATTATAATTGTCATGCAACTAAGTAGATCTCAACTGTAAGATTATACCTCAATTGATGAATGATTTGACCTCAACTTTGAGTTTAGGGGGAGACTAACAGTCTTGATAACATGTTTACAATATGTTTGAGATTGTTGATCTCAAACCTACACTTACACCATTTTCCTAGATGTAAAATAGTTAAGGATTTAACTTACGAGATCCCCACAAAAATCAGATAGCAAAGTATCTTCAAAAGGGAAAATCAAAGATCTAAAGGGTTAGTAGTGCAATATTTGCCTTAATCTCCCTGTCGGCCCCCACATTACTCCATATATCGTTATCGTAGGTCCAAACAATATAGGCTAAATTTCAAGTGGTTAAACTTTTAATTTTGAACAATTTTAACATTTAAATTATTTTTAAAATTTTTTATTCTTTAACTATGAAAATACATTTCTTTTACTTTTTTTTCGTTAATTTTATCTATTAAATCTATACAACTGACATTTTTTCAGCCATAAACCTTTTTTTAATACACATTTTTTATTTCCTAAACTAATTTTTATTGTACTTTTTTAGTCATGAACTTTTATTTTATTCATATTTAGATTATTAAAGAATATTAAAAAGGTGTCAGTTATAACGCACAAAACTAACTGAAGGACAAAAATATGTCTTTTTTTCCAGTTAAGGGTTAAATAAGTATAAAAAACTAGTTTAGAGACTTAAATTATTTAAAATTAAAATTTTAAAGACTGTATTTAATATTTAATCTTAAAAAATGCCCACTAAAAAGATTTAGCCTTGGTTTAAGAGTGTTGTCCTATAATTATAGTTGTAAGTTTTTTAGTTTTTAATATTTAAAAAATTGATTAATATTTATCAATTAGACTTGTAAAAAAATAGATGAAAAAATATTTTAAAACTACGTAATTTTCATAAATTATTATGAGAAAAAATTAAAATATTATCATTCTAACTTTAAAAATAATTAAGATGTTTTAATTCTTTTTAATAAAATTTTATTAAGACAATATACTTTTAAAATATTTTTTTACTTGATTTTTTACGATACAAGTTGATACCTATTTTTTTGTTAAAAAAATATATAAAACATATTTATTATATTTAATATTTATTTTAATTAACATTATATATATTTAAAAGATTTTTCTAACATCTTCTTTTAAGGTATAGATTAAAAATATTTTTTTGTCATAAATACATATAAAACTATAAAAATTAACATTAATTTTAGTGTTAGTGTTAAATAAATAAATTTAATTAGATAATTAATAAATTAAAAATTAATTTTTATATTATTTTTTAATATAAATTC